ATGTCAGCCTGCCAACATGCGTGCCGACTGGCAGACCGGGACTGCCTAGAGACACATCAATATCCACACGTTAGGGCTTTAACAAGGCCATCTTATCACACAATCTCTGTTTTTCCCCTCTTCATCATCCATCCAGTTTCCTTGCTTATTTTCTGTTTTTTTCTTTCTTACTTTCCAATGACTTATTTGAACACTGTTTGGAATTCTGTTGGAATGTATCACTTGAAGGGGCTTTGTCTTGGCTACTTCTTCCTTGCCAAAATAAAGTTCCCTGACAAAAGCAACCAAAGGAAGAAGAGTTTATGTTGGCTTAGAGCTCCAGAGGGAGAGTCACCACAACAGGGTAGGGAGGCGTGGTGGCAGGAGCCTAAGGTGGCCACTCACATGGCATCCAGACACTGGAAGCACAGAGTTCATAGGAAATGGGGTTAGGCTACAGAGCCTCAAGGCTCTCCCCAGGGATTCACTTCCTCCAGCAAAGGTCCACCTCCTAACGTTTCTGCAGCATTCCCAAATAGCACCACCAGCTGGAGACCAGGCCACACACATGAGTCAGTGGGAGAGCACAGCATTTAAACCACAACAGTTCTTTCAGAAGCTTCTCCCGGCATTGTAATAAACTTATAGAATATGCCACAGCCTGTTGGAATTAGTGTTTTTCCCACTTCAGGTCAAGTATAAAAATTTTATTTCCATTCCTCAGTTGAGGGACATCTGGGTTGATTCCAGATTCTGGCTATTACGAATAAAGCTGCTACAAACATGGTACAGAAATTATACATTTATGCAATAGAATACTACTCAGTATTTTAATTGTATTAAATGAAAAGCAAGGAAGTCATGAAATCTGAGGGCAAATGGAGAGAACTAGAAAAGATCATCCTGAGTGAGGTATCCCAGAAGCAGAAAGACAGACATGGTACATACTCACTCATAAGTGGATATTAGACATATAACATAGGATAAATATACTAACATCTGTACACCTAAAGAAGCTAAGCAAGAAGGAGGACCCTGGGTAAGATGATCAATCCTCACTCAGAAAGGCAAATGGGATAGACATCAGAAGAGGGAGAAAACAGGGAACAGGACAGAAGCCTACCACAGAGGGCCTCTGAAAGACTCTACCCAGCAGGGTATTAAAGCAGATGCTGAGACTCATAGCCAAACTTTGGGCAGAGTGCAGGAAATCTTATGAAAGAAGAGGGAGATAAAAAGACCTGGAGGGGACAGGAGCTCCACAAGGAGAGCAACAGAACCAAAAAATCTGGGCACAGGGGTCTTTTCTGAGATTGATACTCCAACCAAGGACCATGCATGGAGATAACCTAGAACCCCTGCACAGATGTAGCCCATGGCAGTTCAGTCTCCAAGTGGGTACCCTAGTAAGGGGACAGGGACTGTCTCTGACATGAACTCAGTGGCTGACTCTTTGATCATCTCCCCTTGAGGGGGGAGCAGCCTTACCAGGACACAGAGGAAGACAATGCAGCCAGTCCTGATGAGACCTGATAAGCTAGGGTCAGATGGCAGAAGAGGAGGACCTCCCCTATCAGTGTACTGGGGAAGGGGCATGGGAGGAGAAGAAGAAGGAAGGACGGGATTGGGAGGGGACAAGGGAGGGGGCTACAGCTAGGATACAAACTGAATAAATTGTATTAAATGAAAAAAATTAAAAAATTAAGGAAAAAAGAATTATGGACTTCTTTTTAGGAGATGCAGTCAAGCACTACACAATTGTGAGCAACTGTCTGCAATTTATATAAAATAAATTGTTATTGAAAACTTACATTTTTTTTATTCAAAGTATCTATCAACTAAATAAATATGGCTGAAGTTAGGAAAAAAATTATTTCCATTTATGTCCTTCTCCATTTTAAAAATGCAATTATTGTAAGAATTTCCTCACCATAAATTACATACAATGTAGGAAGACAGCATGTTTGTTTTCAAACCACAAGGTGTGATTTTAGAAACCTGAAGAGGGGTGGGTGTGTGTGCGTGTCGCTGTTTCTAACCATTCCATTATTCTCTTTCTGTTTTGAAATTGTAGGCCTTCTATTCTCATTTCCCGTTTGGAGAATTTCCTTCAAATTCTCTTGGTCTCCCTTCATCTGAGAATGTCTATATTGTCCATTCATTCCTTAAGAATCTTTTCATTCACAAGAGAATTCGTGGTTGGCAATTCTTCCTTTCAGCACACCGAGCACAGTATGCCACTTATATCTGATCTCCATGGTTTCAGATAGAGAATTGGCTGTCATTCAGATAGTATGTCTTTGCAGATAATGTGTTCTTTCCAACTGCTTTCAGGATTTTTCCTTTGGCTTTTAAATGTTCTCTGCCTTTAACTTTTCACATTTGCATGTGTGTTTGCATGTGCAATGTATTGCTGTGTGCTTCAGCTCTCTAAGGTCCCAGCTTGCTGGGGTGTGCATTGTGAGCATTCAGGAGTGTGCTTTTGTCCCTCTGTGCCCACAGACCCATTTACAGTGGCCCCTTGATGTCTATCCAGGATAGCTCCAGAGCCACAGAAAGGTACTAAAAATAGAGAGACTATTGAGTTCCTTGAGCAATATGATGCTGGGTTTGCACAGAAGCCACTCAGTCCTGTGTGAGATGTAACACGCAGTGGGGTGGGAAAGTCAGCTATGGCAGAGCTGTGCGTGCATGCGTGCGTGCGTGCGTGCGTGTATGTATGTGTGTGTGTGTATGTGTGTCAAATGCTCATGTATATGAAGATATCACAGGTCATCCTCTGGGAGTGTCATTCCTCAGGCACTAACCACCTTTTCTTTCTTTTTGTTAATTTTTATATTTTTTCTTCACAATTTGTTCATTATATATCCTGATGGAAGTCCTCTCGCTCAACTCCCCCCAATACCACCTTTCTCCCTCTTCCCCATCCCCTTCCCCTAGTTCACTGAAAGGGGGAGTTCTCCTCATCTGCCATCTGCCACAGCTTGTGAAGCCTCATCAGGACTGCCTGGATCCTCTTCCTCTGTGGCCTGGCAAGGCTGCATCATCAGGGTCGAGTGATCAGAGAGCAGTCAATGAGTTCATGGTAGAGGCAGCCCCTGTTCCCCTCACTAGACCACTTTTCTTTTAAAGACAGGGTCCCTCTCTTTACTGGAACCCACAAAGTAAGCTGTCACAGTTTGAAATGTCTTCCTGAAATGTCTGCCATGTGTCCCTCTTTTACCCCAGAGAAGGCTCTGGGGAACCCCCAGAGGCTGTTTTTAGTCTTCCAGCTAGGGAAGTTCTGTCTCAGGAGCCAAAACCATTTGGAAGAGACATTTCCTTTGTATTTCTGCCACCTTCAAAGCGATGAACTAGTCAATGTGAACACAAGAGCTTAATCAGCTTTCCACTGTGCATAGAATGTATACTTACAAAGCACAACTCCCGAGTTCCTAGACACCTGTCTTTAGGTGAGATGGAAACTCTGAAGTCCTTTCTGTATGTGTGGGGTGTGTGCATGCATGTATACGTGTTCGCGTGTGTGTGGGTGCACGTCAGAGGCGTGCATGGACACCGAAGGTTAACACTGACATCCTCAATTACTCTGTGCTTTATTTACCGAAACAGGGTCTTTCAGGGAAACTCATTGGTTCGCCTGGCCGCTATCCCCCCAGTGCTGACATGGGGGTGACCACACCTAGCCACTATTTATGTGTCTTCTAGGGATTCAAACTCTAGTCCTCACCCTTGTAAGGCAAGTACGTTACCCACCCAGCTATATCCACAGGCCAGTTCTGAAAGCATTGAGAGTCAGGATAAACATCTACAACCATTCCCACAGCGAGGCTCTCTCTTCTGTTCGCCTTTCTCCAAGGTCTCCCTCTGTGCTCTTGCAACAGCATTTTTCATGATTGGTCTTACTGTCCCCACCCTCACCTCTGATGCCTGGAACTCTGCCATACTTGACTTTTCTACCCCATTGCTTATCACATCTCACACAGGACTGTGCAGCTTCCGTGTAAACCCCACATCATATTGCTCAAGAAACTCAATAGTCTCTCTGTTTTTAGTACCTTTCTGTGACTCTGGAGCTATCCTGCATAGACAAAAAAGAACCATGGCATAGGGATCTGTGGGCACAGAGGGACAAAAGCACACTCCTGAATGCTCACAATGCACACCCCAGCAGGCTGGGACCTTAGAGAGCTGAGCAAGGTCATAAACTCCTGTTGTTCTCGTTGTTCTGTTTAATAGCTTGTGCTGCGCATGTTTTACAATGCCACACAGCTTTAGGTACATATGCACACGCGCGCGCACACGCACACGCGCACACACACACACACACACAAAACAAAAGCCCAAAGACCAAGGAAGTAAAGACATGAACTGCAGACCTGCATCTTATGTCCTATTAACTCACTTCTCTGAGCCTTACAGCATGTTTAGGAAACTGGAACAAACCTCTCCATCCTCCCAGACTCTGTAAGTGCAATGCAACCTATAACTTTAATGATTCACTGTGTAAGCATTAGTGACTTCAACACAGACAAGGCATCACACTGGTGTTGAAGACTGAGTAAGATCTATCCACCTGGCTATACAGGGCATGGAAGCCACACCAACCTCATGTGTCCTTCTGAGGGTGCACACCACTTTCCTTCCCTTCCCCTCCTTCCCTCCTCTCTCTTCCCTTTTCTTCTTTTTTCCTCCTTTTTGTCCCTTTCCTTCCTTTGCTCTTCCTTTTTTTCTTCCTCTTTTCCTCCTCCTTCTCTTTCCTTTCTTTTAAGGAAGTGCCTCTCACTGGCCTGAGCTCACCAAGGAGGCTAAGCTGCCTGGCCAGCAAGTGCTGGAGATCTGTTTTCATGCCTCCAGGATGAAGGACTAAAGGTAGAACTTCTTGCCTTGTGGCAAAAACAGGAACAAGAAAAGTCCGGGTGCCTTTTTTTACCTTTTGAGGAGTCCCCTGATCTCCAGATTGTGGCCTGGTACAGGCTGGCTCCTTCTCTGTGCCCCTGCAGCCATCACTTCTTGTATTCCAGATCCAATGCCCAAGAAGAGAAATGGGGGCACCTTCTGCGTGGCCATCATGGCCATCCACCTGATCCTGCTCACGGCGGGCACTGCACTGCTGCTGGTTCAAGGTGAGGTGGTCCTGGTCCTGTGTGGTTCCTCCTGGAGTGGTCGCCTAAGCTCCTCCAGTGTGAGGTTCAGGCTAACTGGGGGCATCTTGAGAGGACTGCTGGCCTCTTGCGAGGGCACAGTGGTTAGACCCACCGAGGTAATGGAAGAGTAAAGAGCTGTGTGTGTGTGTGTGTGTGTGTGTGTGTGTGTGTGTGTGCGCGCGCGCACACACATATGGAAGCCAGATGACAACTCGGACACATCTGTGCACCTGTGTGTGGAGGCCAAAGGACAATCTTGAGGATCATACATCAGGCATTGTTCATTTTCAGAGACAGGGTCTGTTTCTGGCCCAGAGTTCACCAAATGGCTAGGCTGGCTGGCCAGCAGGTCCCAGGGAGTCCATCCTGCCTCCTTTTCCCCACAGTGCACTGAGTTTGTGATTGAAACTCCATGCCCTACGGAAGTTATGTACACATGACACAATATCAGGAACCTGCCCCTCCTTGTTCCAGGCTTCAAGGAGGCCTCTAAATGATGCGGTGGGTGGGGCTTCCAGTTCTCAACCTGCAGGAGCAGCTCAAGGTCGTGGAGATGGACTCTGGCAATGGGACACTGGCTGCTGGGTACAAGGACAAGCGATTCTCACTGCAGCTGGCATGTCCCAAAACACACCTGGTACCAGGAGGACCAGGACTGCAAGTCCTGCAGGCCCAGCTCACCCAGGTCTGCACCAGCCAGGAGCAACTGCGTCAGCAGATTAACAACCTCACTCAGAACCCAGGTACCACCACACCCAGTGTCTGTGGTGATGGGGATGAAACCCAGGGTTTCCATGCAAGCTGAGTGAGCAAGTGCCCAAATCAGTTACACACCCAGGCTGCAAAAGAGGCATTTTGACCAGCACAGAGAGGCTTTCCCTTAACCTTGGGAGCCTCTGAAACTGGTTTGGGGCAATGCCTGTATATGCCAGCAATCTGAGTATTTGTATACTTCCCCAGTGTCCCGGGTTGGGAGTGTCCAGTTCCTAGTCTCTCTAAGATCGCTTTTCTGAATAGATTCAGGTGTTGTTCAAACCTCCAAGGCCGGAAGACCTACAAGGGCCCAGCTTTCCAGTGCAGAGTCTGTGAGCTCTCTGTGGGGCACAGGAGAAAACCAAGCTCCGCCTCCACACCCTGTATGTCTTCAACCCTCTCTTCTTCCCTTACAGATCTGCTCCGGATTAAGGGTGAACGAGGCCTCCCAGGTAGGTTCGTTTTCTGTCTGACCCACCCTGCTCTTCCCTCAAACCTTCTCTCCTTAGCCAGAGCCTTCTGGGTAAGGTTTTCTGAGTTCAGCTCATTTTCCAATGATCTGCTTCCTCTGCCGCCTCGTTCATGGGATCGCCTCTCTATCTGGACAGGCTTCCGCCGTCCCCCGTCCCAAGTGATTGCCTTCTTCTCCATCATTCTAGGATAATCCACCTATCTCCTCTGCCCTTCTTCCCCAAGGCCCCAGGTTTCCAGAACTTTCCTTGTCCCCCAGAAGCACTCCTGTCAAATGCCTTTGACTTAGCACGTGACATTGGTGCAGGCCGTACTTCTCTCGTACCAGGCTCTGCTCTCCCAGGCTGTAATGACAACACAGTTATGTCTCCTTGACTCAACCCTCACCTCAAAGGGATTAAGAGATGATTTATTCTGAAACCAAATATAAATGGCTCTGGGCCAGGAATTCGGACACAGGTTACCTCAAATGCCATGTTCCAATGTGGTAGGTTTCCTGAAATTTTGATACTAACAGGACAAAAGAAAACCATAAATCAGGGTGTTTTAAAAATACATTGGTGGGAACATACGGTAGGTAGATGAATGCAAAGCAGGAAAACTCCTCAGCCTTCAGGCTGATAGAAGCTAAGGGGTCTGTTTGCTCATTCTAGAAGGATTTTACCTAATAGCCATGAGGACATTAGACCGAACACAGAAATAGTCAATAAATACCCTTTTACTGGGCTAAAGACAATCCAGGATAATTAGGCTCCTGACCTGCAACATTCCAACTCTCCATCATGCAGGCTTTAATCAGTCCAAAACCCTGTAGAATCTTTACCACAGTGTGGCTCGTTTCTGGGAAGTTCAACTCACACTGACAAGACTGAAGCAGTGTTCCTGGGAGCCAGAGCTGTGGGAGTCTGGGATTCTCAGGTTCCATCCACTAGGCAACTATCTCTCTCCCTTACCTTATGGTTTGCCTAGCTTGGTCAAGGCACCCCAAAGGCTCATTCGACAGCTACTGAGGGCAGGGGGCGAGGCATGGGGTTCAGAAATCCTGGCTTTGCCTCAGGCATAGGCAGCTAGCTGTTAGCAGCAGCAAGCATCTCTGCCCAGAGCCACAGGCTTCCTCACACAGATGGAGCATAGCCTCTCAGGCAGGCTTGAGCCGGTACCTGAAGCCACATCTTTGTGCCTCCCTTAGACATCATCTTCACATTTTCTTTTCTTCCTTAGTGCCCAGGCCACATGCTTCTCAGAGAAGCAGTGTCACCCTGGCTCTTTGTTTCCTTCAAGGCTAGCCTGCCCTTGAGGCTGAGTGAATGCATCATCACCTCCTGTTGCTCAGTTAGTCTCTGCCTCCATTCTTCTTCATCCTCCAAGTCCAAAAGGGGCCCAGGGTGCACCTGGAATTCCTGGCCTGCCTGGGCTGACTGCCAAGAAGGGGGAAAAGGGGGTTGTGGGTCGTGATGGAAGCCCAGGTACTTTCTCTGTCTTCTGACCCTGTGTTCTTACCCCTCTCCTCCAAGCTATCCCCTGAATCCTTTCTTTCCTCTGTCATGAATGAGGAGATATCTCCTTCTGAATTCCCTCTGGTCCCAATTGTGGCAGGAGGAAGAGATAACACTGGGGACACAGGTAGAGTGAGTATCCAAAGTTTATTTTTACCAAGCAAGAAAGGAGGAAGGGGGTCTGGAGAGAAGGCTCAGCGCCCAGAGTGCTGGCTGCTCTTGCAGAGGGCCCAGGGCCGGCTCACAGCATCCATGTCGAGTGGCTCACAGCCACCTGTAACTCCAGCTCTGGAAGACTCAGCGGCCTTTTCTATCCCCTCACGCGGCATACATGCACACACACAAACATACAACCACATAAATAATGTTTTAAGGGAGAAAATGAAATACAACCTGAAAAGTAGACAGCTGTCCCAGCCAGGGGCACCAGCAACTGGCCCGCTCCTAGGTCTGGACTTAGCATCACCGCCTTTGCCTCCCTGGGCACTTCAGGGTGTCCCTCTTCCTGAGTGAGGGAGAGGCTTACTCTTTTAAAACACGGTTGTTGTTTTTTGTTTGTTTGTTTGTTTTGGGGTTTTTTTGTTTCGGTTTGTTATGTTTTGTTTTTCTGATGACATGTTTGAGTGTGTGTCTGTGTGGGACGGTACACGTGAGGACACTGTTGGGAGAAGCCAGATCCTGGAGCCTGGGTTACAGGCATTTGTGCCCGATGTGGGTGCTTGGAACCGAACTCAGGTCTTCTGAAAGAGCAATTTAAGTACCCGGGCCTCCCAGCCCTGGATGTGGAGGCTAACCCACAATTCAGTTCGTTGCAATTGGTTGCATTAGCTGTGGGAGCATGTCTAAAGGTGTACTTACTTGTGAAATTGAGAAGCTCATCAGGAAAAGGGCAATGGCGCCGTGTGTGTAAATTTCAAGGAAGGATTTGGGGGAGGTGACCCAGGTCCCCCTGAGACCAACTCTATTTGTTTTGGTTTTCCCACAGTCCTGTCTATCCTCCTAACTGCTCAACTTATCTGTCTCATACCCAGGCAGCTACAAGCCCTCTTATTATCTTCCCCTCGTTTCCTAACTGCATGTTTTGACCCTAACATCTCCAGGTCTTCCAGGACCTCAGGGCCCGGCAGGTGTCAAGGGAGAGGCAGGTGAGTAGATGTCATGGGAATATATGGTGGGCTTTCTCAGTGACAAGGACTCAGAGTATAAACCTCATGGCATGGGTCTCTTCGGGGGAGGCAGCTTGCATGAGACGGGGTGGGCTGGGAGGTGAGGGCAAGTCCACAAACAGGAGTGCTGCCCAATGATGCCTCAGCCTGGACAGCCCAGCTGAGCCTTCTCCTGTGAGCCCACTGGGAAGAGTGTAGCTCCATGGTCCTCAGGGACTGAGTCATCCGCACACACGCCTTTGTGACCCCGCCTCCCTCACCTTCATGCCCCTCGGTTTCTTCATACATAAAATGGAGCTGAGACTTCTGCGAGGTGTGTTGTTGTTCACCCACCATTCTCTTTCTGTGTGTGCACGTGTACACATATGTATTTCATCGTGGTATGCATGTGTCCATGTAGAAGCTGAGTCAACCTTGGTGGTTATTCTTCAGTGCTGTCCACCTTGGGTTTTGTTTTTGTTTGTTTATTTGTTTTGCAACAAGGTCTCTCACTGGCCTATAACTTTCCAAGTAGACTAGGCTAGCTGGCCAGTGAGCCCCAGGCACCCACCTCCTCTGCCTTCGCAGTATTCTGACTACAAATGTACACCACGACTCCTGGGGCTCTGGAAGTTAAAGTCCTCACGCTTGCAAGGCAAACACTTGACTGAGGGAGCCACCTCCGCAGCCCGCTGCTGTTACTGTTCTCTGAGCCCAGGCTATCCTTGAACTCTTCATCCTCCTGTCTCATCCTCCTGAGTACTGAGATTACAGGCATGCATCACTCTACAGGCTTCTAGATGATGACTGAAAATCCACTGTTGCTGCTAGGTCATGTTTTAGGTTCCTTTTTTCAAGCTGAGGCTGAGACCTGCCCTGCTGTCTTAGCCACTGCCATGGCTCTGTCAGAGTAGTAGACGCAGAACATGTGCTCTCTCTCTCTCTCTCTCTCTCTCTCTGTGTGTGTGTGTGTGTGTGTATGTGACTCTGTCCCTCTCTCTCTCTCTTTCCCTCTCTGTGTATGTGTGAGAGAGAGACAGAGTCTCTCTTTCTCTTCGTCTATCTGTCTCTCTCTCTGTCTCTCTATTTCTCTGTCTCCCTCTATCTCCCTGGAAACAAAACCATAGGGGAGTGACTGTCAGCCTTCACAGAACCCTCCCAGAGCCCGTGGTTTACCCTGCTGCACTGGAATGATGCAGAGTCCTAAGAACTTTTTTTTCACATTTTATTCACTACATGTCCGATGGAAGCCCCTTCCCTCAATTCCCCTCAGTCCCACCCCTCTTCCCTCTTCTCCTCATCCCCTTCCCTAGTCCACTGAAAGGGGGAGTTCTCCACGATTGCCATCTGCCCATAGCTTGTTAAGTCTCATCAGGACTGCCTGGATCCTCTTCTCTGGCCTAAAACCTTTTAACAGCAATGAACAGAGCCAGCTGGTTTAGGTAAAAGGGGGAATAAACAACCCAGCAGACTTGCCCCTCCAGAAAGCTCCAGCAGGCACAAAAGGCATCTGGTGAGCAGAGAAAGCTACTTCCAGGAACTGGCTCCATTTGGAAGACAGCAAACAGGATCCCGGGGAGCCTGCTGCTCTGCATCTAGGCAGGGCTTCTCCAAGAGGCTTTCAACTTCGGATACGAAGACTATGGTGTGGTGAGAAGTGTGCAAACATCTCACCCCATACACATTTCACCACCACATGCTCATGCACACTTAGGCACATTTATTTACAAGCACATGTCTACACACTTTGTTGTGTCTTCACACTCACACGCTACACACATACAGAGCCAAACATTCAAGCACACATATGAACACACGTGCCTGCACACGCTTGCATCCTCACACTCACACCACCCACAGAGCCACATACTCATGCACATATGTGAACATGTGTGTGTACACATGAATACTCATGCCATACATCCATGCACTCATATACATGTATATATTTTGGCATACAAGCATCCTCACACTACATAGTCATGGAAGTACACACTCACCTATTCATGCACATGTGTGAGCATACATTTATACACACACATGCATCCTCACAGTTAGGCGCCCACACACTCATACACACATGTAGGCTTCTGCACACACACTCCAGTGCTCAAACTTAGGCACAGCATACTCATACTCCTGTGTATGCACCTGCGTGTATACTCTCATGCCTTGTGCACAAATGGCCTCACACTCACACAGCAGGCAGGCTACACTCTTTAGGCGCAGAGAGAAAGGGGCATGGAGAAGGTTCCACAGATCTCAGAGATAGCCGTTAGCCAGGCCACTGGGAGCGACAGGCCCGGCCCATTCCTAGAGGCAAAGTCTGGGGTCTAACTCTTCCTCTGGCTCCAGCAGGCGCATGCAGAGCAGGAGAGAGCTGTGTGATCTCACTAAGTCCCAACACTCCTCTCATGCTCCATGGAACCCGCAAACCTAACAGGAGGGGGAGGTATCTGCTATGATAAAATGGAGACGACAGCCCAAAGCAGCTGGCACCCCCGGGAGAAGCTGGCACTCTGGCATCACAAGGAGCCTTTCTCCACATGTGGCCTGGCAGCCTGTCTTCCCCCCTTTCCTCCCTCACCCACCCTCCGGACTCTCTCCATTTCTCTTTGTGCTCACCGTCCTGCCCCAGTTGTCTTCCCCTTGGAATGCCCTCCATCTTGGGCTGGACTCTGCATGGTCACCTATAACCCTCAGTGTCTCAGGAAGGGGCCATTGTTTCCCTACTCTGTTTATGTCCTGGCACAGGAACGCTAGGGCCCGGTCATCACCAGCCCCATTTTACAGATAAGATCATTGAGGCAAGAGATACTGGGGTGTCTCCCCCTGCTTGGAGAGACAGCCATGATTATAGTCTTCCTCCCATGACCATGCACTAGCCAAGCCTTTGGAAAAACAGTCACCTCCATCCAGATCTGCCTGGGACTCTGCCACATAGACTTGTGCATTTGGATCTTACCATTGGGAACCTGTACTACCTTGGAGGCCTCCAGAATGTCAGGTAACTGAAAAGACCAAACCACAGTGACCGAGTCTTCTTTTTACCTCACAGGCCTCCAGGGACTCAGGGGTGAACCAGGGAAGCAAGGAGCTGCTGGTAACTTGGACTTCCAATGCCCGTAGAACATCTGTCCCCATGCACTCTCTCTATTGCCCTGTCCTCACTCCTGAGGGTCATTGTCCCCCCACTATCCTTTCTTCCTCAAGTCTTGAATAAGCTCACCAAGACCAGCAAAAAGATGAGTTAATGAGTGTGTCCCTCAGGTCTTCCCTGGCGATCCCTTCCCTCTGCACTCTGCTTCTATCTCTAGAAGCTCACTTGTGGTAGGATAAAGGGTGCCCACCTCTGTTCTCATCACAGGTGTACCAGGACCTCAAGGAGAGAAGGGCAGCAAAGGTGACAAAGGTCTCGTTGGCTTCAAGGGAGAACCTGGCACCAAGGGAGACAAAGGGGACCCAGGCCTTCCAGGTAAGGGTTGCGTTGAGTGTTGCATTCATGAGGAAGCTGAGGGAGCTGGGAGCCTGTGTTTGTCTGCTCTGGCTGAGAACAGGGCTTGGCCCAAGAACTGCCTGCCTGGTTGTTTAAAAGAAGCCTCAACTGTACCCCCGTTCTTTTGAAAATAAGTTAATTTCAATCGATACATAATCATTCATGTTTATGGGTTACTGTGTATTACGTATTTATACAAAGATCAACCCAAGATATTTGACTTATCTGTCACCCACACATTTTTTTTCTGTGTGATGAGAGTCTTCAAGATGCTTTGCATGGAACTGTTTGGACTCATAAGGCGAGGACACCAGAGTGAGCTCCTCCCCCTGATGGGGCCTTTGCCCATGGCATTCAGTCCATTGTTAGCACTTGGTGTCCCCCTTGGTAGCCACCCTTCTGAAATGTATGTGTGACAGATTGTGTGTATGCGTGTTTACATGCTTGTACATGCATGGCTGTTGAGTGTCTTGCTCAATCACTTTCCACCTTATTTCTTTCTATTTCTTGTCTGTTTTTTGTTTTGTTTTCTATTGAAAGTAGATTGTTTTCATATGTATATTATGGTTTGTTTCACTGACCCCTGAGCTCACTCACTGTCTGGCCACCAAGCCCCAGCAATCCTCTTGCCTTCTCCTTTCAAGCTCTGGGATTACAAGCATGTACCACCATGCCTGGCTTCTTATATGGGTGCTAGAATTCAAACTCAGCACTCAGGCCTACACTGCAGGCACTTTACCCACTGAGCCATCTCCCTGGTCCCAGGAAACATTCATCCTTTATGTCTCTAATCGCCTAGACTCCCTCCCAAACCTTGAACTAGCCTAACCCGCTCAGACCCAGGGGGCTGATTCTTGCTCTTGCTGTCCTCTTCAGAGTCATTCCCTAATTAATCATGACCTCGTTCTGAATTCTGGAAGGGACCTGGCATGATACCTGAGTCCTCTCCCAAGCCCTTGTTTAAAAAAATAGAACAGAATAAAAAGCTAGAGAGATGGATTTCTTGGTGAAGTACTTGCTGTAGAAGTATAAGGACGCGAGCTTGATCCCAAGAATATATGTGGAAAGGCAGCATGGTTGCACTTGCTTGTAATCTCAGAGCTGGGGAAAGAGAGACAGGCAGGTCCCTGAGGCTACCTAGCCAGCCCACCTGTTGAGTTCCTGAGGCAGTAACATACCCTACCTCAAAAGCAAAACAAGGCAGGTGGCAGCTGAGGAGCAACACCTGCAGTCCTCTGGCTTCCAAACTCATGTCCACGAGTACCCACACATACACTCGTACCCACACACTTGAGTATACACAGGTACACACTTCAATAAAACAGTACATTTAGGTATTAGAGAATTGAGCCATAAATCCCTTTTGGTAAAATGTCTGCCAGCTGGTCTAGTGGACAGCATGAAAGGCTGCTTTGGGGTAACAGTCCTACTGAAGACTTTCACCCAGTGGGAACAGATCTGGGTGTCCACACCCAGTTGACAGTGTGACCTCAGTGGCTCTTGGAGTGGCTACTACTGAGCAAGCCCACTGTGCAGCCCACCCTTCCTGCCCTTCAGGAGGGAGGCTGCCCTCAATTGATATGCACCAGGTACTAAGGGAAAGGAGGAGAAAGAGACAGAGGACTCAGGAGAGGACTGGCTGGATGAGTTCTGAATGCTGATGACAAGTGGAAAATTTGAAATCTTGGGTGCCAGGGAAGCCCGTGTCTGTGACCGCAGCCGGGCACAGAAATTACTGCATTGTTTTTCTCTTTCCCAATGACCTTTGCTATTCTTGGCATCTGGGGGATGCTTTCTAGAACATTCAGATTTCAGTCTGAGAGGATATGAAAGACAACCCCCTAAACCCCCAATGAATCCCCAAAGTACTGGGTGACCCCAGGCTGGGATCCTTCTCCTGGGGATGAGGGTTCTGATTGGGGTCCCAGGAGCCCAACCAACACTGTTGTCAGGTTGTCTGGCCAATCTGTCCTGAGTTGTGCTCTGTCTCTGGGGAAGGGGCTCATTCCTGGAGGGCTGAGACTAGATCTTCCCCCTCAAGCACAGGGTGTTTTATTTTGGAATTTTGGGAGAAACAGGAAATGCCTGAGTGGGGCTGTTTTACCCTTCTTCAATGTCCAACCTTGATTTCTTTTTTCCTGTGTTACAGGAAACAAAGGGGACACGGGCATGAAGGGTGACGCAGGGGTCATGGGGCTCCCTGGAGCCCAGGGAATGAAAGGCGATGCTGGAAAACCAGGCCTACCAGGTAAGAGGTTGTGCTATAGGGCCAGAGACCTGAAGGCATTCCCTTCTCTCTGGTAGCTAAGACAGTAAGGGTGACAACATTCTTATGAGTGCTATCCATTGCAGGTTTGGCTGGATCTCCTGGAGCCAAAGGTGATCACGGTAAGAGATGTGGGCATCTGGACAGAGCCGCTGTGGTCCCAGGGAAAGTCAAGTAGAGAAAGTTGCCAATTATCTCCCTTCCTCCCTCCCTCCCTTTTTTCCTTCCTTCCTTCCTTCCTTCCTTCCTTCCTTCCTTCCTTCCTTCCTTCCTTCCTTCCTTC